CACAGCACCAGATAAACTCACACTTAACACGAGAGAAGGTGGTTGGAAATTGTGTTGTAGCGCAACAACTAAATTTCACAGAATGCTACAACACCTTTTCTAACACTGATTCAAACACACACAAAAGCAAGCAAAGACACAAAGATTTGTTTACGCAGTTCGGAGCCAACTCTCCTACGTCTGCGAGGCCCACATCCGTGTAATAGCCTTTCCACTAGATCATCATAAGAATTACACAATCAAACTCAACAGATTCTTCTATTGAACAGATTTGTCTACTTACGTGATCAGACACAAAACTCTGTTTGTGTCAAACCAGGCCTATTACACCTTCTCGTTGCTCTGCAATAAGGATGTGTTCTTGACCTTTGCTCAGCCTCTCATGATTCACCAGCTGAACAAAACCTCAGAGAAGATCCATGGCTGACCTTCTCATTGTAACCTCACGTATGTGTATATGATAAGCTCTTCTCTATGATAGATCAACGCTCAGTATATTCTCTCTTTTTAGCCTGATATAGTTTCTGTCGCTCACCTTCTGCCATCTATTCAACTTCTATTTATATCTCTAGACTTACATAGGATGGAACCCTAACCTGTAGTCTGTAGAACTCTTGCGCATACATCTTCGTTGAGTCCAGAGAGGAGTTTTTGGTTAGGCAGAGTACTTGACAGAACATGAATCCTTCTTTGAGCTAAGGACTTCCAACGTAGCGTCCTAGTTGTATCAGGTTGCCATGCAGGATGACCAATAATACTACTAACATAAGGACACTACACTACAATATTCTAGTGGTTGTGTGTTGTCAAAAATAACGCCAACCCATATGATAAATATTATAGAACTAACACTTCAAGTCGTTTGTAACCACTCTGGGAAGTCAAGCCCTGACACATTAAGCAACGGCAATCTAGATTCACTCCACACGCGCACAACATATATAGACACAAGTGACAAGGGAATGCATTACCGTCTCCACGAACATTCCGCAAATAGAACACAAGGGATTCACGAACGAATATTGGTGGTGGTGGGAAGAACATCCCTAGCGGCTCTCCAGATAAAGGTCCTCCATTTAGGGGGAACTTTCAAGCTCCAAATCCTAGACCAAGCAGTGAAGCACGACGAGTGGCCACTTTCTTCTCCCTTTAGAATTTTGTACCCACTTTTAAAGGAATAGCACCCCTTCAAGTCTCCATGCCAAACCCAAGCATCTTCATAATTCGGGCTCATGGGGATGCGTATAATGCTATTAACTTCATCTGCCAAGAACAATTCGCATAGTAGGTGAAGGTCCCAATCACCCGAGGCTGGGTCTATCAAGTAATAATTAAATGTAGTACCACTAAGATGGTCCGACATAAAAGAACAAATCATCAGATGACCATTACAAGGCAACCAATGATGACGCCAAACAAGTATGCTTGTCTCGTCACCAACTCGGCGTCTTAACCCACTACATACAAGCTTGTGAGAGGCCATAATACTTTTGGAAAGTTAACATAAAAATATCACTCCCTTGAATTTCCCAAAAGTCAAAATAGGAACATCTTTTTTTATACGAAAAAAGTATATTTTTGCCTGAAACAATTTTGCAATTTATCTAATTAAAATAAAAACGCATTTCTTTTTTTAGTTTTACCGCTTTTTAGTTTTTATAATTTTAAACTAATTGGAAGAGGGGTCTCGTTCTAACACATTTTAGGTATTTTATTTAATTTTTTTAGTTGTCAACCCATATTAATTAATTCCTCAATCAACCTTTAAAATGTGAGATTTATAGCTGAGGTGGCAGCATAGAGTAGCTAGTAGGGCTGTTCATCGGTCCAAGACCGGACCGAACCGGACCGAAGACCGAAATGAGTAAATTCTTGGACCGAAGACCGGACCTAAATCCATTCGGGTTTGGACCGGACCGGACCGAAATATTTAGTACCGAACCGGTCCGGACCGAAAAAATTATATTTTTTTTAATTATTTTGATCAATTAAATATATTTTAGACTTTTTACTTTGTACCATTCAAATAGAAAATGAATAAAAAAAATAGGCAGCTTTAAAATGGATAAACAATATGAAATACTTCAATGTAGAACCATAAAAACAAATATGAAATGTTTTTTTTAAAGATTTTTTTAAAATTACTTAATAAAAAACACTTTAAATTAAATAAATTAAAATATTTATTAAAATAGAGCATCAAAGTGTAATACGAAATTTAAAAAGTAGAGTTTTAGTATTTAGGTCTTTTAGGTCCAGTAGGTCATTAGGTCCAACCGATCCAATCGGTCCGGACCTAAATCATTTCGGGTTTGGACCGGACTGGACCGAAACCCGAATGCCAAAATTTTCTGGACCGAAGACCGACCCGAAATCCATTCGGTCCGGGTTCGGTCTGGACCTATCGGTCCGGTTCGGTCGGTTTTTTCGGTCCGGACCTAAATGTGAACAGCCCTAGTAGCTAGGGCTGTGTAAAAATATACTCTCTTTGTCTACTTAGGAACTTCCCAAGTTAATTTTACACGATATTCTTTTTTGTTAAAACACAGGTGTTCCGGACCCGCTTTTGACGAAATCTGACTAATACTCTTCGACAGGAGTTGCATATTAAGATCGAAAGTCTCACTACAGATGGTGGGATTTGATTTTACACGAAACTTAATGTAAGATGATTAGGAGAAAGACCCAAATAGGACTAAAAGTTTGAAAATATACCAAAATAGGACTTCCATGTTTTAATTCCTAAAATAGGATTTACATTACGAACCATGGTCACATTCATTACCAAAAAAGCATAGTAATTTGCACATGTACACTGCCACATTACCACAATGCAAGGTCACATTACCACAATGCAAAGTCCTATTCCGGGGAAAAAAACATGAAAGTCCTATTTTGGTACTTTTATCTATGTTTTAATCCTATTTAGGATGATTTCTAGATGATTTACCAAATTTGTCCTTCTCAATGAGTATAAAGGCAGTACGAGTAATTTTGATTCTTTAAAATTAGCAAAAAAGGAAATAGAAAGAAAGATAATGGATAGTCCGAAATGACAAATGAGAAGAAAGTGGACATAATTTATGGCCAAATAGCACCGGTACTCCTCGTGGTTTGAAAAATAGTTAAATAGGCACCGATACCTCCCTGTTGTCAAAATTTATTTCTAAATTCCATGTGGTTTCAAAATCTTGCACCCGTGCCTCCTTTGATCATTTTCCAGCCATTTTTCTGGCGAAGAAGGGGGGCATTGGTGCATATTTTTTAAACCATAGGGAGTATAATTTTTATTTCTTGCTTATTTTTTTTTCATTTTTTTCCTTTTTTTGTTTCATTTATTATTAAAGGTTTTGTTAAAATTATTTTTATAATGTTCCTAAAATTTAAAGTTATTTTTGTTTGAAAAAATTAACATATAATGCATATGTACGTCTCAAATTAACAACTTCTGTTTTTTCTGGGAAAAAGTAAATTTCTTTTGATAACTTCAAAAAATGAGGAATAAATAAGAAATAAAATAATACAAAAATAAAAATGAATATCCTTTTTAGACATCTCAATTCTAAGGACTTTTAAGACTATTTTTTACGTACTTTAATTTTTCATTTCGTTTTTCCATATTTTTATTTTTTTTATCCTAGGTTTTTTTTAAAAGTTTCGATCCAAAAAATTATTTTAAGTAACAAAAAGTGAAAACGTTCAATTTGAGATAGATGTAATGTATGTTAATTTCTTTATTTTTATTTCAAACACAAAGAATTTAAAACTTTTAAAACATTACAAAAATTGAAAATGTATTTTAAAAAAATTCTAGGAAAAGGAAAAAGAGATAGAAAATATTTTTAAAAAAAGAAAACACAAATTATAAACAAAAATAAGAAATGAGCACGAATGCCCCTATGATTTAGAAGTTATGCGTCAATGCCCTTTCTTCACTGGAAAAAATGATCAGAGGGGGTGTACATGCAACTTATTGAAACTACAGAGACTTTAGAAATAAATTTTGAAAAGAGAATGATCATTGGTGCTAATCTTTCAAACCACATAAGACACCGAAGCTATTTGCCCGGCCCATAATCTATTGTTGGATATCGAAACATTAACATAAATTTGTTCATTTCTTGAAATGTTCATGTGAAATTCTTCTACTCAACAAGGAAAAGTGAATAGTCTCTTAAGATTGAAGCCCAACATTTCTTCTTTTTTTCAATTGGACAAAATGTAACTTACTTTTCTTACTTCGTACTTCCTCCGTCCCAAAAAAACCTCATTATTTGCCTTTTTGTCAAATTGTTTAACCCTTTAACCACAAATTAAATATATTTTTTTAATAATTAAATATTATAAAATTTTGATTTATCAAAATTATATTTTAAAATAAATCTAATTTTACTAACTTACATTATAACTAAATATACTTTTTTTACAATTTGGGATGCTCAGCTCACCAAACTCAAGCATTGTTTTGATAATAAAGAGCTTGTACCCAGACAAAAGATTTAGCTGACTGAACATGATATTTCTACATACAAAGCACCATCCGTGTGGAAAATGTGAATTTCCAAACGTTCAGTACATCATTTCAATTTAGTGCAATTTCTTAAAAACCCTCCTTTATAACACAGAGGTTTCCACTTCCCACATACATATAGTCCACTTTTTTAAAAAATTGATATATAAATACAGCCCGGTTTCGTGACCACGAAAGTCACTGTCGCGATTCTAACACTTACGATGCTCCGTTCGTAAAATTGATTATTCTTACCCCTCTTAACCCCCCGGTAAACCCCCCTGCCTAGTCCTGACCCCAACTCATTCCCGACCTACGTTAATTGCACCACGCAATTTTAGATGACTTTGAAGTCAAAACTTTAGACTTTAAAGTCAACTATACTTGCGGGGTGCAATTGACGTAAGTGGGGGGATGAGTTGGGGTCGGAACTATACCGGGGGTTAGGAGATGTATGAATTATCAATTTTACGAATGGAGTATCGTAGAGGGACAGTTACTTTTGTGGCCACTGAACCCAGCCGATATAAATATACTACCCGCGTTCCTGATTGTTTGTTCAATTTTGAGTTTTTGCAATCAAAATTATCAAACTTTGACTACTGATTAAATAAAATTGAGATTAGATTTGTTTTTTTATAGTATTTTAAAAATATTGTCTTATCTAATCAACAAATATACTTTATAAAATTTTATTTAATTATAGATCAAAGACCGAATGTAGTTAAATGCAAAAAAAATCAAAATTAGATAAATAATCATGGACAGAGGTAGTATATTCATTATTTTCTATATTTGGAAACTATTCCACAAATATAGAGGACCGCGGATACGTCCTCAAAGGACTTACTATGAAATAGTTCCTAGATATAGAGGACCATATACGTGAAAACTCTCATGTTATAGAGGGTGCTTTTAGGAAATTACCCTTCTTCACTCTATCAACCGAACAGCAGCGATTGCGGGTATTGCATCCCTTAACTTTTGTGTTAGAGCGACACGCACCGTCATCACGGTGGATGCGGGCCCACGAAGGCGGACCGTGACAATGTACTCTTCGATCTGCACAAGTTCCAACTCTCCGCCGCCTGCACCAACCAAATACGGTCTGATCTCTGCAAGAAGCTGAAGAATAAGGCATTGCAGGAAAATTAATCACTTAGTGTTGCAGTTATAGAGTGCTGGCAATGCTGCAAATAAAAAGTATGTTAAGTTATGATAAAACGGGCCGGTTCTATGGCCACTGCTCTCCAGTGGCCACGGAAGCCACGGTTCCGATTCAGACACCTACGGTGCTCTGTTCGTAAAATTGATGGTTCCTGCCCCTCCTAACTCCACCAATAAAGCCCCTGCCCAGCCCCAACCCCAAAAACCCTTGGAATATACACTATGCATAGCTCTCATCCCAGCCAAGAGAAAGCTTGAAGAACACTTTTGAATCATGTTTGGTTCAAAGAATTCAGAAGGGAAAAGAAAAGAGTAGTAAGGAAAATCAATTTTAGTGTTTAGTTAGAAAGGAAAAGAAAATGCCAGAAAAATAGTGTAAACTTGAAAATGTGATTTTCTTTTCATTTTGTGAGAAAAGGGAAACAAAAACAACAAACTCCACCCTCCCTACCCCCCCCCCCCCCACTCCCCCAACCAAACATAGTGTTAGTTTTTTTTTTTGTCCAAGCAGCAGGCAAGTTTGCCCAGTTATTTTATAGAGACTTTCTAACTGCAAAACATTTTTAGTTTTTCTTATAACTTCCTCTGTCCAAACTGAGTTAGTTGTCCACTTATCCTAATTCCTCAGATTTAAGAAAATGGGGTAATTGGCAATGTTGACCACTGCTGGCAACAAGCTAAATATGCTTTTTAGAAGCATTTCATATAATTACCCATCAGTAAATCAATTATTACCTTCTCAATATTTTCCTCATTCAGCTCGAGGCCAATCTCGGCGTCCTGAATCTGCTCAACAGCTTCAATTTCTGGGATTTTATCGCGAAGGCAGGTTTCGATCCCCATCTTCAATGTCAATGCAGAACTTGGGCAGGAGCCACAAGCTCCGTGTAGCTTTAGCACAACAACAAGGCCATCAATCTCATGCAGAGCCACATTCCCTCCGTCAGCCATTAAGCCGGGTCTCACTTCATCCAGAACCATTTCAATGTTTTCCTCAGTGAGAGGAAGGACAGAAATGGGTGAAACCACCACACCTTCAAGATAAAGAAGCAGACGTAAATCAGAACAGCAATTTATTACTTCTTCCGTCCCATAAAACTTTTCAGAGACGAAAAGAGCCGCGCCCTAAAAATGGGTAATTTTGATATCATTTTCTTATTATGACTAGTCTATCCTACACATCATATCCTACCTTATAATAAGGTGGCTATTACGATATTTAATTATAATACTATAATTTTGTTATGTGTATTACTAAAATATTATAGTTTATATAATTTATTTTGGTTGGGACAGTGCCCATTTCTTTCATATCGTCCAGGGCCCTCGAATCCTCGGGGGCAGACCTGGAATTAGTCATGTTCCACGGTACGCAAGTTGGTTTTCCTTGCACGTGGAAATAATCTATGATGATGTCGGCCTTAGAACTTTTCATAGAGTATTGTTGTTCCTTAAGAAGATTGCAAAAGGGCATCTGGTGCAAGAGAATTGTCACTGTGATTTTTTTCAGAACCTTATTGTGCTAAGTAATTGTATACAAATAACTAGCATTAGGTAGTTATTAGTTAATGTCATTGATCACAACTAGTGTTAGAGCTTGGTACTAAGGTTTGAAGGCCCAACACACACTCCAAACCACACTCGCTCACAATCCCTACAAGGATTCTCCTACCCTAATACGATGTCTATAGGAAACATCCTCAGAAGTCATGTCCAAATAGAGGTTTGAAGTCGCCAAATCCAAGCTCAACTGCACATCCTAAGTTCAATGTGGTCTGCCTCTTCCTCTAGTTCCTTCAACCAAAATGCTCTCCACCATTTTCACTTGTCCATTTGTGTCTCTGTAGTGGATGTGGCACAACCACCACAACCACCACAATCTGTGTTATCTCTTACTTTTTCAGTAATACGTGTCACTCCTAACTTTGTACGGAAAACAGCATTTGCTATTTTGCCTAACATGGTACGACCACTAATTCACCACAACATCCTCATATCCACCACTTCCAACTTGCGCTCATGTGCATTTTTACCACCCAACGCTAAAATGAATACATCATAGCCGGGCGAATGGCTTCCTATAGAATATTCCTTCAGTGTGGCATTGTTGTCAATCTAGCTCTCTTTGTGTTCTCCGTTTCATCAACTCAGCTACCAATGCAATTTTGTCCATAAATAGGCAAAATAGCATACATAACGGTATGCTCTCCTGGAATCCAGTAGAAATCACATCCAAGATCAAAATAGAGAGATATAGGCTCATGGTTGATCCTAATGCAGCCCGAATTCCAGAGTGAAAAAATGTGTCCTCTACGGGGTCAGAGATACATATCTCCCCTCATGCACATCCATGACACCCCCATATCCTCCAAACTCTTACCTCACGTAGTACACTATCTATCATAAGCCTTCTCTAGGTCTGTAAACACTATGTGCTAGTTTTTACTACACTAAATTTCTCCCTAAGGCTCATGAGAATGTGGATTGCCTCAATTGTTTACCTTTCTAGCATGAAACCAGATTTTTTCTATTAAATTCAGTCTCAAGTTGCACCCTAGATTGGTTTCATGGCGTGGCGAAGTTGCTTCATGCCGCAATAGTTACTATTACTTTGTGTGCTGCCTTTGGCTTTACAGAGTGGCATCACCACACTGAGCTTCCACCCTTCACGCACCTTGGCAGTTTTGGGATGGTGTTAAAGAGGCTTGTCACCCATTGCACCCATTGCTCTCCCTCTTCCGCCAACCACCGCTATGCCTCAAAGGGATCTAATTTCGGCACAGTGCCTTAATCATTTGTATTTTTAAGTGCACCCATTAGACTCACTAATACATTTACAAGGTTGTCGTTGTGCAATTTTCAATCTCTTACTCCCTACATTAAAAAACTCCCCCACCTCTCCATAATGGCACCATCCTTCACCTGAAGTCTAGAACCGCTCACCCTTAATGTACCATACGATCAATGGCAGATCCAGAAATAAATTTCACTGGTGGCACATATGTTATTTGTTGCAAGCGAATCTTAATTAATTGTTTTTCCTTGACTGGAAAAGTCCTCTTTTGGGTACTTGAGGACGTTTGTACACTCAAATCCTTCGTAAATTTTTTGAAAAGTTAGTGTTAACAAATTAAAATTACATTTGTCTTCCAATAGTCAAATCTTTTATAATAATTGGAAGAGCATGTTGGTGTCATTACAGTTCACACCCCTCTTGTAAGGATTCCACTGGGGGCAAGTGCCCCCCCCCCCAATATACAAGTAAATCGGTCAATGCTTACAGTACCTAAATCTCGACACCCCTCTCTTGCTTTCACAAGTTTGTAAATATCAATATTCTCTTCTTGGTCTATAAATGTCTGAACATTTCCCCATACGCCTTTTCTTTTACGACCACCACTATTTTTTCCTCTCATTGAGCATCCTTAATCAATATATGTTTCTTTCACCCTTACTCATCTCCTCCCCCCCTAACATTCAAAGAGCTCTTTAAAACACTTTTGGTTGACATTGACCTTAGCTTGTCATCTTCATTTCACCACTAGGAATCCCTTTGGTCCCTCTCCCTTGGTCCTCTTAGATGCCATCCCTAGCATAACCTTGGTAGAATCTCTAATGGTGTAGACCATGATTTCAAGCCACATATAATGCATGAATCAAGTCACTTTCAATGTCAATCAAGCTAAAGGAGTCACTATTTAGAAGGTTTTGGATTCAAGTAAATAATGGACGAAATCAAAATATCACATTAAACATACATTGCTCTTACTTCTATGAAGTTTTGGATAGTATATGCATCAAGAGTCTAACATAAACAACATCTCTGTTTTTAAAGGGGTAAGAACGTGTACAGCTAGACCCCTGCCCCAAAGACCCCAACAGAGTTGACATTATATCGAGTTGTTGTAATTGATTAACTGTATACGGAGGATGATATCCTTAAATGGGGTAATGGTGAACTTGCTATTTGCAAGGCTTATGAAGTGATTAGAGATGCGGATTCTATTTGCCTCTCTTCCAAACTGATCTGGGAAAGCCTGCAAATCCCCAAGATTACACTTTTCTTATGGAAACTTTTTAATAAAGCCCTCCCCTTCCCTAACAACATTGGGCTTTAATCTCCCTTCCCAATGCAGGCTATGTCATAAACATATGGACTCTGAGTCTCACACTCTCTTTAACTGTGAGTTTGCTAGGCAAATATGGTCTTATTTTGCAGCTATAGTTGGTGAACCAGCACCAAGGAGAGAGCTTTCTGTAACCCAACACTGCCTGGAGTGCCTTCTCTCTTCAACTGGGAGAACCATGGAAGAGAAACTCAGAATCTTGCTTCCTGGTCTGCAGGACTATCTGGAAGCAATATAATGCTTGCTTGTATGATGGAGCTGCTCCCAAGGTTACAAGTGCTATTGGTCAGGTGACTAGACTGCTGCAGCATTGGAGTCTGATCCATAATAAGGCAAATTGGTTCCATTTCAGTTGTGGCCATACCGCCATAGAAGCTTGGCCATTTCCCCGTCTCCCCAAACCTTGTAGTAGTTTGTTGCTTTTGATTTCTTGTAATCTCCTTTCACCTGGTTGTACATTCTACACTCTATAATAAATTATCTTATTTCAAAAAAAAAAAGTAGGGGGTGTACCCAGGTTCATTGCCAATGGAAGTAGATGAGTCATGTTAGGAAAAGTTTTAGCTTTGGGTAAATAACTAAATATTGAAATAAAACAAAATGGAAACAAACTTCCCTTGCTTCTTACTTTCTATGATGTTTTGAGTGGTAAATGCATCACTGCATCAAGATTCTAATAGAAGCAGCCTCTCTGTTTTTATCAAGGGTAAGGTTGCATACATCTTGAACCCCCCCCCCCC